AAACTACCCTCTGAGTTCTGTGGCTCATGGAACGCAAGATAAGAACTCCTAGTTTAACTCCTTAAGCTGGGGGTGGAGGTAATATTGTGAAATCACTTGAATTAACCATTTATTCCCCCAGTTTGTAGAGTAAGATGAACTCTACACCTAAATCTAATGGACACTGCACTTCTGTACTCCCAAGCACAGGTGTTATTATTACATCTGTACCATTTTGAAGTGTAATGCTGGGAGATGAGTCACTGCCAGTGTATGCAGAATAAAGCCCTCTTCTGCCCTCTCCCAAGATGTCTTATGTCCTAGGATTGCCCCCTGGAACCTCCAGAAAGGAACACAGCCCTACTGACATCTTGATTTTAGCCCAGTGCTACCCATATGAACTTCTCTAGGACTATAGGATGGGATGATCAATTTGCATTGTTTAAACTGTTAAATTTGTGATAGTTTGTTACAGCAGCAATAGGCAACTAATGTACTAACCCCACTTGATTCATTTCTCCCTAGCAAAGGTGGCAAAAGGAGCAGTATTTCATGCCAAGGCCTTCTAGGGTAATGTTTAAAGACTGTTTGGCTGCACTGTTATCTTGGTATAGCTCCTGAAGTTGACTTATTCCTAATTGTCCTTGACTTGTAATACTAGTGTGATTACATAACCCCTTAACTCCATCTCACCTTACTGAGTTTTCCCTCAAAAAAAAAAAAATAGTAGTTCTCCAGTGGCAGTATGATTTTAGCCTTTGATTTGGATTTGACCTCTTTAAGTGCAATTTAGAGTTTGTTTGGGATTACAGGCATGTACCATACTACGCTTGGCCTAGCTGAGAGTTTTGACAGTGCTTACCTTTTTGAGGTCTCTTGAATGTAATGCATAGGTTCTGTGTGGAGCAAAGAGCAGTTAAGCAATAAGTTAACATAAAGGAAAGTTACCTGGAATCCCAGAAGTACTTTTCAGTTCTGACCAGCTGTGTCAGCTCTGAGAGGCAGCAAGCCTCTCATCTGTCCCCTGAGCCACGAAAATTGTGTCAGTGGCTCAGAATTTGAGGCTAATAATTGTCAAGAAATAGATTTACTCTTAACAAAAGTTCCTTCTTCTTGGCAGATCTTTTTAGTACCTCTCTGCAAATTAGTGTTGGCTCATCTGTATGCTCTTATAACCAGAAGCCCTGGAACTTTGAAACAGGCTTATCAGTCGAACCACCTGCTAGAATTAACAGCCAAAGGGAGTAAGAAAGTGTTGGACAGCCTGAATAGAAATTCTATCCATTAATGAAGAATGCTTCTTTTATATAAAAGAAAAAGGAAACGGGGATGTAGTAGGCAGAGCAGCTCTTGGACTTACTGTATCGCAGACACACTCTTTTCATCTGTGGCCTAGATATGTTTCTCCTTTCACACAGATGGGTAGTTATGTGACATATTAACTACTAAGAGGTATTTATTTATTCATTCATTCATTTATTTTGGAGACAGAGTCTCACTGTGCAGCTGAGGCTGGCCAGGAAATCACAATCCTCCTGCCTCATTCTCCCAAGTAGTGGATTACAGGCATGTACCACCACACCTGGGTTACTAAGAGATCTTAAAAATAGGAATTATAAAGCAAGGTTTATTTTTAGTATTGATTTTGCCATTCAGTATAATCAGTGTGTCTCCTGTTCCCAGTAAGTTCATCCTGGAATTTTAACTATTTGTTCAAAATTAGCTTTCTAATAAAAGTTATGACTTTATAATATGAATTAAAAGCTAACCTTTTAATGTTAAACATACAATATGAAATGTGTTCTTATAAAACCCTGGTAGCTATGTATTTTGATAGCAAGCTATTATTATAGACTATAACCTCATGCAAGACTTGCTTCCCTGTAAATGTGGTATACCATGAACATGTGTCCATTTCTTCTTATCTTAAGTGGTTCTGACCGAGTGTGGGAGTACATAGCTATAATCCCAGTACTTGGGAGGCTGACATAGAGGGACCATGGATTCAAGGCCAACCTGGGCTACCTATGAGACCCTATTTAAAAAAAAAAAAATCACCAAGCTGGAGTTGTAGCGCAAGTGTAGGTAGAGTGCTTTCCTAGCAAGCACAAATCCCTGAGTTCAAACCCCTAGAACCACCAAAAAAAAAGAAAAAAAAGTTCTGCTAAGGTTTTTGGTTGCTTATTTAAATCTAATTAGAAGTAAAACTTGGGAATATTATTATGCCTTAAAGGCCAGCTGTGTGCTGGGTATTCTTCAACCTAAAGAAAGTTTAGTTTGTGCAGTGCCAATAAATTTGATATGGACAAAAGCAAAACATACACGAAGAGAAAAAATTTGGGAGGGGCACTGTGCAATAGGCCAAAGAGGGGGCTAACGTGATAGTAAGGAAAGTGTGCTCCTTAGGTAGAAAAACAGGTTAAGGGCATCAAATAAGTCACAGGTGTTCATTGTGGCCAGCAAACATGTTGAAACAAATTTTCACCAGCCAACCCAGCAAGGGCTTTGTAAAAAGGGAGAATGCTTAATGTTGCTGTCGACATATTCTCCTTATGAATTGGAGAGTGTGGGGAGGTGTAAATTGGTAGTCTTTCTAGAAGGCAGTTTACCAGAGCCTTTGATAATTTTATGCCCAGTAATTTTATTTAAGAATCCACCCTCTCCCCCAGAAAAATCAGGTGTGGAACGTCACAGCATTATTTGAGGATACCTGAAAAACTATCTAAATATGCAGCCTTAAGTGAATTATTTTGTTATGGTATTACCATGTAATGGACAGTTAAGTCAGGAAAAGGAGTTTTGTGCAGTTATGTTTTGTTTTCTTTTGTTTTTTTGCAGCACTGGGGTTTGAACTCAGGGTCTCATGCTTGCTAGGCAGGCGCTGTTAACGGCTTGAGCCACTCCAGCAGCCCCATTGTGCAATTTTTAATGACATGAAAAAATGCTCAGAGGGTGGTGGGGGGGAAACAGGACACAGAGTTTTATACATGTAGAAGAATTAATTTTGCAAAAGAACTTCAGAGGAAGATGAAGGTTTAAGTACAATAAATTGTCTTAAGCTGTCTTAGAACTTAACCATGTGCAGTTTTTGAGGTGAACTCCCAGAGGGTATCTGAGCAGTTTTCTATACTCACATGTTGTTGTTACCTAGATTACTAAGGGAGCACAAGTCTTTATTTATTTTTGTTTGTTTTAATTTTTTTTTTTTTTGCAGTCCTGGGGTTTGAACTCAGGGCCTTGCACTTGCTAGGCAGGAGCTCTACCACTTGAGCCATGCCACCAGCCCTACAAGTCTTTGTTTTAATCACAGTTCTAATTAGATTTATGACTTGGGCTTGAAGCAGTTGGGAGGAGGAAGAGAGATAGGTAGTAGTGCTCTAGTTGTCTCTAAAGTATCCCGTTCATCTGGGTCTGTCAACTGGACTACTAGAAGGAAAGACAGACTACTATTCTAATACTGCTTCATAAAATATTCTTTGTTGTGAACTTCCAAGATTAGATAGTAGATCAGAAAAGGAAAGCTGCCTTTATTTACCTGCATATCACAGGAATAGATTCCTGTAGACATTTTTAAAAATGATAAAATTCTAACTGTGCCCTTCCTGTTGCTTTAGTCTCCCCAGTGAGCATCTAGTAAGTTAAATTTATACACATGTGTCCTTCATGTACAGTGGGTTTAATCTCTCCTGGTTCTCCACCTAGAGATGGCTGGTATCAGTGGGAAGTGAATTAAAAGGAACCAGATGGCTTCTTATGAGGTCATTACACTAAGTGAGAGCCAAGGAGGGTTTATATAGGAAGGTAATTAATTGGCAGTGCATGAAATGAAGGAAAGCACTACTCTTGTTTTTGCCCTGTTGACTTCTCTGAAGTAATTTTGTTTTGTTTTTTAAAATTATGGAAACAGAGGATAGGACCACTGTCTCTTAATAGAATGGTGTAACACTCAAGCATATACAGCTAAGTGCTCATTAAACTTTATTAACATAGAAAAGTTTTAGTAAAAGACCGTTTGTTAATACAAATCAAATACTGGTAACAGTTTCTTTCCTGGTGATGAAGCCCTTTGCATGACACGTTTAATCTGTTGTTTCACTTTGTTCTGTTGAATCAGAAAAGGTTTGTCTCTGGGGAACAAACTCCCTCATATTTGTTAAGGAAATGTTTCATAAAAGGTTCCTTAAATCAGGTCTTTTAACTGATTTGCCCTTAGGGTTTGACTTCAAAACCCTAAAATACAACATGCTGGCTTTTGAGGCCAAATTCCCAGCTTTCTGTTCATCTGCTATACAATCCGGCTTTGTTCTCTCTGGTACCGGTCTGGGGATCCACCCTACCCTTGTTCATAGCCGATCACTGAGCTTTTCAATAAAAGCCATGGACTGATTGTATTTTTCACCATGTGCTTATTAGGCCAAGCATGACTGGTTTTTATTCTCCAGCCTGACAGAGTGTGTGCTTGAAATTTGTGTGTGAGTTAAGGATGAAAAGATCAGATATATTTACAAACAGCATTAGAAGTAGTGTTATATTTTTCTTTGTCAGGTGGGTTAATAATATCTATGCAACCAAGCTTCAATTAACAATTCAGCCAACACCACAAAGGAAACCAAAGGTCAAAGCTTGAATTCTCAACTCCAGTGTGGTATCCTGGTCACTAGAATGTGCCCCATCAGCATTGGAAAGAATAAAGGTCATCAACTGAGAAAAAGAAATGCTTTTGGACAGATTCTTTTGAAAATTATCTGTGTGTACACATACTCGTGTTGGTATTGTGATTTGGAATATGGCGTTTCAGCAAGGTTATGATTATAAACTTAACTAAATTGTATGAACTTATTTTAGCTCTGCCATCCCTTGAGCAGCAGTACTTACCTTATTAATGATTTGCCAGTCATTGAACTGGCTAGTGATCCTGTTCCCTTAAACACCTGTGGGAGCAACAGGGAAGCATCAGAAGTCACTCTCTAGGCAGGTTGAGTTTGTTTTTAATGGTACTGTTTATTTATCTTTGTTTTCAGAATAAGCCCCAGTCTCCAAAGAGAACTGCATCTCTTCTTCCCATCAACAGTAGTTCCAAAGAAAACGGAATCCATGAGGAGCAAGACCAAGAGCCACAGGATCTTTTTGCAGGCAAGTGTGGACTCAAAACTTAGAAACATTCTAAGTGGCTTTGTTATGTGGCTTGAAGTAGAAACTTGTATGCGTGTATGTAACATAAAACAGAACTTTAAGATACAATTTTGGAGGATTCCAAAAGATGTAAAATACAGGCTCTGCCATCAAGATTCTTACAGGGAGTTTTTGCTCCCATTTCCTGCATGGGGAACAGGAAATGTTTCTCTCTTTTCTCCCCACTGTTCCTCTCCTAATAAACTTTGCTGTTACTTTTACTAAAAAAGAAAAAAATTCTTATAGGTATAGGTAATAAGTCATACATGAATAATAAAATAAAAAAAAAAGAAAGAAATTTTGTTGGGCAGAGGCATGGCTCAAGTGGTAGAGGGCCTGCCTAACAAACAAGGCCCTGAGTTCAGTACCACAAAAAAAAGGAAAAAAAGAAAAAGAAGTTTTATCATAATCTAAATATACTCATACTTATAAAAAACTGAAATAAAAGTTTTAAGTAATGAGCCTTATCACTGCTAATGAAATCTAAAATTTTCCATTTTTCTTTTTTAAATGCTCTTTGCAATCCATTGAATTGTTTTCATAACAAGAAGTTAAAACCTGCAGCCAGGCATCGTGGTCACACCTGTAATCCCAACACTTGGAGACAAAGGCCGGAGGATCTTGAGTTCCAGGCAAACCTAGTTTAAATAGTAAAATTCTGTCTCAGCAACAACAAAACATGTTCCAACCTGCAATTTGAAAAGTATGGAGTAGAGTTTTGGCACTATTAACATTTTGGGCTGGATAGTCTCCTTTGTTAAGGGGAATATTTTTGTCTCTCAAAAGACATTTGCTAATGATTAGAGACATCTTTGGTTGTCACAACTGGGAATGCTACAGTGACATAGAGGATAAAGGCAATTGATACTGCTAAACGACTTACAATACATAGGGCAGCCTCTCACAACAAAGAATTGCCAACATTGAAACTCTTAGGTCTAGAGTGAGCTTGGAGGGTTTCCGGGAAGAAGGAGAAAAAGCGTTCAAATGATTGACAAGAAGCATAAAATGTATTTGAGGGACAGTCAATAAACTTGGTAGGAACAATGGAGGGGGTGAATCTAATTAATATGTACTGTAAGCACATAAGTAAATGTTACAATGTATCCTTCCTGTACAACTGTTATATGCTAATAAAATATAATAAACTTGGTGGGTCAAAGCAGAAATTCATAGAGAAGCCATGGAAGATAAGGCTGGAAATATAGTTTGGAAACAGGTTTGGGAGGATTTACACATTAGTAACTAAGTTTGAATATTCCTTCTGATGCCAATGAAGAGCCATTGGCAGTTTTGCTTAAAGAATGTGAATGGATGAAGTAATGCTTTAGCAAAGCTGGTCTAGTGGAATTACATAAAATGAGTAGTAGTGGTAAACTTTCTTTTTGGCAATACTGGCCAGGACTGGAGACTTTTTAAGAAGGCAATCACAAATTAGCTTAATAATAAAATAATAAAGACTGAACAGAAGATGATACAAGTAGTCAAGGAAAGGTGAATGCTTTTCAGAAGAGAAATCAACAAAATCTGGTATGAGTGACTAGAAAAAAAATGGGGACTGAAGACCAAATCAAAGATTTTAAATCCAAGGATTGAGAAGAAAATGGCACCATTTGAAACTGCATTTTAAAGGAAAGAAAAAAATGACTCAGGGGGAAAAGTTAGTGGTTTTTTTTTTTTTTTTTTTTTTAATTTTTTTGGCTGGTACTGGTGTTTGAACTCAGGGCTTCTCGCTTCCTGGACAGTTACTCTTCCTCTTGAGGCACTCCACCAGCCCTTTTTGCTCTGGTTATTTATTTGTTATTTATTTTTTTGGTGGCACTGGGGTTTAAACTCAGGGCCTCATGCTTACTAGGCAGGCACTCTACCACATGAGCCACTCTACCAACTCTGCTGTGGTTATTTTTGAGATAGGGCCTCGATTTTTGCTGGGACTGGCCTGAACCATAATCCTCCTGTTTATGTTTCCCACTGTAGCTGGGATGACAGGTGCATGCCACCATGCTCAGCTATTTCTGTTGAGACAGGTCTTGTGAACTTTTTTCCCATGCTAGCGGTACCACAATTCTCCCAATTTCAGTCTCTCACAAACCTTAGGATGACAGGTGTGTGCCACTGTGCTCAGCTATTGGTGGAGATGGGGTTCTTGTGAACTTTTTGCCCAGACTGTCCTCAAACAGATCCCCCTACCTTCCCCTCCTGAGTAGCTAGGGTTACAGGCGTGAGCCACCATCACCTGGCTAGTTTGGGTTTTTGATATTTAAAATTCGAATGTAAAGGGAAATACCCAGGACATGATTTGAACTGTGGTTCCCTACCTGAGAAAAGAAAAAAAGAACAGTAGATGTGGACTCATCTTCCTAGAGGTGATAGTCAAAGCTGCTCTGTGAATGAGATCCTCACTGGAGTGCGATGTGAGGTTTTGGGAAGACTCTATCATTAGAAGTCTGGTAGGAAATTTAAAGTACATGAAAGGGAAGAAGAGATAGGAAGAAGGAATGTGAAGTTAGAAGATTTTCCACTTCCTTCCATCCCTGAAACTTTGAAGTATCCACTATCCCTTCTGGTAGTGATTTTATTTGGATACAAATTTCTGCCAGAGAAATGATACAAACACAAATAATAAATTCTCTTTAGTTATATGGCAGGTTGAAAAGAAGGTAAATTTTCTATCTTTGAGACCTTAATATTTGTGTGATCTTTTCTTATAAGAGGACCTGAAATCTTCGTGTGACAGAGTTATTCCCATGATTAGGCTTTTAGTACATGAACGTGTAGAAGATCTTTATTAGTAGTAATGATTCTGATTTGCTTTTTTTCCCTGCCAATTTCATAAATGAACCAATACCTGCTCACTACTGAGAAAGGATGTAAGAGATATCTCTAAGATATCTTTGATATCACAATGAGATGTTTAGTTTAGGACTTATGTAGCTTCTCAGATTAAGATATTGATTGTGGAAATTTAGACCTTTTTTAAAAATTTTAAAAATGATTTTATTTTCTACATGATTAGTTCAGTTATGAACAGTCTCTGATAGAGCCCAAAGATTTTACATTACTTTATTAGGAGTACAAAGAAACAAAAACATTTTAATGCTTAAGCATAATGCTTAAACATTTTTAAGCATGTTTAATGTTTTGGCATGTTCATTACATTCATTTTCAATAGAAAATGCTCATCTTTCAAAAGGCTTTTACTAGTTGTTGGTTTGGGGGTTTTTTTAGAAATTTTTATTTATCTTATTTTGAGATGTAGTCTCACTGTGTTGCCCAGCCTGGCTTCAAACTCTCAATCCTCCACTCTGCCTTCTGAGTGCTGGGATTATAGTTTTGTACCGCCACACCTAACTTTAGCCAAAGGTTTTAAATGAACAGTACTTCGTGTTTTATTTCCAACTGTATTTATTAACTTAATCTTTTATGTAGAACCTGCATGAAGTGAATATCCTACACATACTTTGGCTGGTTGCTTGTTTCAAGGACTCCCTGGTAGCCTACCATGTTCATTCTATATGCTTTGTTCTGCTTTATACTCCCACACCAGGGTTGTATTATATACCATCACTTTCTTTCCTGATAGGAATCAGGTTCCATGTCCAACAATGTGTGGCAACTTTGTTTGCAGACATGATTCACATTTAATGATTAGTACACTGATTTAGAACTTGACTATCTGTATCCATGGTTTTTTCCTGCTCCAAGTGAAAATCTAAAAAAGAAACAAACTTTTTTGAAGTCCCTCAGACTAAGATTGAATACCTACTGGTCAGACCAAACCCAAATGGGTATTTGTTTTTCTTTACTAAAAAAAAAAAAAAAAAAAGAACTGTTTAGGTTTAGAACTTCTAGCTTCATTGCTCCAAGATGAAAGTGCATTCTTACTTGCATAAGAAATTTTAAAACAAAAATTGTGTATAACATTATGTTTGTTTATTTTCATGGTACTGGGGACTTTGTAATGTTATTTTAAGATCTCCTCTCTGAGCCAGGCACTATGGCTCGTATCTATAATCCCAGCTACTTGGGAGGGAAAGGTTGAGAAAGTTTTAGTTCAAGGTCACCCAGGGCACAATGTTAGCAAGACCCCATCTCAACCAATAAGCTAGACACGGTGATGGATGCCCATGATCCCAGCTATCCAGGGATCATACAGGTATAGATAGGAGGATCACAATCTGCAGCCATCACTGGGCAAAAATGTGAGACCCTATCTAATAAATAAATAAAGCAAATAAAAGGATGGGGGTTTGATTCAAGTGGTAGAGGACCTGCCTAGCAAGCAAGAAGGCCTCTGTTCAAACACTTGTACCACCACACACACACACACACACCCCGCCCAAAAAAAAGTCCCCTATCTGGAACACTTTGAGAATGAGTTGTTCTCAACTGAGCTTTCCTAAAATAGACAAAAGCAGCTTTTAGGCATATTTGAAGTTTTAGCATCTTTTCTAGTTTTTTTTTTCAACTGTTTTGATCAGAAAGATTTTTAGATATTATGCACCTTTTTTCCATTTGAATAGATTTTATTAAGTGCAGCTTAATGTTTGCAAGGATGTCTAAACTATAATTGTAAACAATTCTTTTTTGTTTGTTTTTTGGCATTGCCAGGGTTTGAATTTAGGGCTTTGTGTTTGCTAAGCAAGTGCTCTACCACTTGAGCCACTGCTGCCCTTTTTGATCTATTTATTATTTTTGAGATAGGGTCTCACTTTTTCGCCCGGGATGCCCTGGATGGTAATCATCCTATTTATGCTTCCTGCAGTAGCTAAGATGACAGTTGTGCACCACCACACCCCATTGTTTCAAACCACAATCTCAGTCTCTTTCTCCTGAGTACTAGGATTACAGACATGAGCCACAGGCCTGGCCTTGTAAGCAGTTCTTAAACTACTAAAATAATGATGCTGTCCTTAAGTTTAGCAAACTGCTCTTTCCCAAGTGTTATTGTGTTTGTATCTTGGATCCATTTTTTTCTAGCTTATATTTTTATACTTTTCTGGACTTTTCTTTGGTGTCATTGTTTGTTGTTAATATGCTTGCCTCTTATATCATTATTGGCTTGTAAAGTAGACAACCAAACATTGTCCTTTTACAATTATAGCAAGAATTGCTGGTGGCTCACTACTGTAATCCTAGCAACTCAGGAGGCAGAGATCAGGAGGATCGAGGTTTGAAGCCAGCCCAGGAAAATAGTTCATGAGACCCTATCCCAAAAACACCCATCACAAAAAAATGAGCTGATGGAGTGGCTCAAGATGTAAGCCCTGAATTCAAGCAAAAAACTTGAAGCAATACTGCAAAAAAAAAAAAAAAAAAAAAAGTAGGCTTCATGTAAGGTTCTAAAGGTTCTAAAGGAATACTCTCTACCTAGGCACAGTGGTACACAATATAATCCCAGCTACTTGAGAGGCAAGGTAGGAGGATCTTGAGTTTGAGGCCAAACCAGGCAAAATTAGCAAGACCCCATCTCAAAAAAAATTACGAAAGGCCTAGGAGCATGGCTCAAGTGGTAGAGCTCTTACCTAGCATGCTTGAGCTCTGGGTTCACTCTCCAGTACCAATAGATAGATAAATAAATAGATAGATAGGTAGAGAAATTTTCCCAAGAGTGAAATTAATTGGCACATTTAATTTGGCTGTGAAGTCTTTTTGCTTGATCTCTGGTTCTTGTCTTAATTATACGTAGGAAAGACTGGCCAAATAGTTGTATGGAAAGGAAAGAGAGAGGCTGCTCTACTGCTTTGTACATTTGTACTTTTGGCCTTTGCCAAAAGAACACTCCCTACCATCCTTCTTTTAAACTCATGCAAAAAAATTTCATGGCTTTTATTTTTCGCAGTCCAAGAGCCTGTAAGTACTAAGAGCATTTGCTATTGTTCTATGAGTCTAAGCCTGTAGAATTGATGCTCCACCTTCACAGACCCATTATTGACCTCACCTTAAAATATCAACTGTTTTTAGATGCCACAGTGGAACTATCCCTAGATAGTACACAAAATAATCAGAAGAAGGTACCAGCCAAAATGCTTGTTCCTGTTCCTCCACAAGAAGCCACAAGTTCTTCTAAGTCCCAGCTAAGCTACGAGGAGGTGAGAATCTGTCTTTTTGTTTTTGAATTTTTAGGACTGTGTGCTGCTAGTCTGAAGTTCAATTGAGTGTGACCTTGAGAAAATATGTAATGACTCCTGAAGGAGAGCTTAATGCTTAATGGACAGCTAGAATACAATAATGGACTCTTCTTGGACAGAGTATCTATTGCCTGGAGTATAACTCAAAGACTTTAAATGGTCACTAGTGATTTTTAGTGTCTGAGGCCCCCATATTTAGGACTATAGTCTCTCCTCACTCCCTTCTAAGCCTGAAAGAGACCAGCTCATCCAAAATCTAGTAATTATTTATTGTTATCAAAATAAGGTTTAAAGGATATAGATATAACAAAGGTCTGTGAGCTGGCTCCCAAATTAAAATTGTGGGACTTAATTCATTGAAATTATTAAGAGTGGACGGAACTGGACTGTGACACACAGAAGTATACATCATGACTTTATTATACTGACTTAAAGTTAATACAAGATAAAATTAATAGCCTTTTCAGAGTAACTCATGATTTGTCTTTTCTTTGTAAAGCTAGAGGAAGAAGAACAGGAGGACCAATTTGATTTGACAGTAGGTATTACTGATCCAGAGAAAATAGGTAAGTGTTCTTGGGACTCCTTGTAATGTTAGGATGGGGCTGTGGAAAGTATGGCTAGCTAATTTGGGGATGGCTACCTCCAGAGCTGAACCACCCAATGTAAAGTACTCTTTAGTATTTTTCCTGTAAAAGAAAGATGTTTTTTAAAATTTTTTTTTAAAGATTTAAAAGCCAGGCGCCAGTGACTCAATTCCTGCAGTCCTAGCAATTTAAGAGGCAGAGATGAGGAGGATTGTGGTTCAAAGCCAGCTGGGGTAAATAGTTCAAGAGACCCTAGCTCAAAAACACCCATCACAAAAAAAGGGCTGGTGGAGTGGCTTAAGTTGTAGGCCCTGAATTCAAACCTCAGTACCACACAAAAAAGTATACCCAGGAAGCTGAGCTTCCAGGGTCAGCAACAGCATTTACCCAGTGCTTTACTTAGGTTTTTCTTGGCCTTAGGAAGACAAATCAGGGACATCAAATACTAGACAAGTCCTTTTTAAAACTCAAATGATGCTTTTCTCCCTCAGAGTTGATTAGATTATTTTATAACCTTTTAAGTAAACACCCAAAAAGTACATGTTTTAAAATTTTGGGATGATGTGGAGCTTACGTTTCAAAAAGTTTGAGATTCTTGTTGCAGATCATTTATCATGCACTGTTGATATCCTAATGAGATCTACCTATGCATGTTTCATAGATGAAAGACTTAAGGATCCAAGTTGAAATCAATTTGTGGTCAAATTGAAGTTTCAAAAAGCATACTACTAACTTTGTCCAGATTTGAATTTTTAGGATAGCTGTCCGCTGTCAAAGTCAAAAGTCAAAGTCAAAGAACAATAGTCTTTGACTTTCTTCAATTGATAGTTCCTTACAGAAAAGGCTATGCAGATTTTCTGAATGGGTGGCTCAGACGTCAAATGGAACAGTTAAAATATAATTTCTTAGCTCTTTGTTTATTCACAACTATAAACAGAAGTTTGTAAAGTCTAGTTAGACTTTATGCCAAAGTAGTTGAAGTTAAACTGCGGATATTTACTTTTTTTGGACAATGGTAGTATGTTTATGAGCATCTTACATAATTTTTCATCTATCAGTACAGGAAATTAAAGAACAAATAGAAAATAGATTTCCTGTTATATCAAAATGTGACCCAGGGTAAAGCCAAGATCAGAACTTTGGATTACATGTCTAGGATTCTCTTTTGCTTCTCTAATATTCTAGTGTCTGGTCATGGTGGCTCATGCTTATAATTCTAGTTACTTGGGAGGTAGAGACAGGAGGATCACAGTCTGAAGCTGACCCAGGCAAAAGCATGAGACCTTATCTGAAAAATAAACTAAAGCAAAAAGGGCTGGAGGTGTGGCTCAAGAGGTACAGCATTTGCCTAGCAAATTTGAGACCCTGAGTTCAAACTTCAGTACTGCCCCCCCAAAAACAAATAAACAACTTAGCACATTAACGTAAGTTATTAGTTACTTAACTGCTTTAAATCACTGTAGAATAAAACAAATTACTAATTTTAACATTTAATGTCATGATATTGAACCATGAAAGGGAGTTATTAGTTACCTAGGGCAGTTATACCAAAATATCACAATCTAGACGGCTTAAAACAACATATTCTCGCACAGTTCTGAAGACCAGAAGACTGAAATCTTAGTGTTGAGTGACACTGATGTGCAAGGGAGGGATTGTTTCATGCCTCTCTCCTAGCTTCTAGGAGCCTCGTTCTTTGGCCTGCAGATGCATCATTCCACTCTCCCATGGCATTCTTTTGAAGTGTCCCCATATCATCTTCACTCTGCACATATTTATCTCTGTCTGAGTTTCCATATTATGGATACCAGACATCATTGGGGTAAAACCTCCCACCCTAATGTCTTCATTTAAACTTGATGACCTCTGTAAAGACAATGTTTCAAGCCAGGCGCTGGAGGTTCCTGCCTATAATTCTAGCTATTCAGGGGGCATAGATTAGGAGGATCTCATTTCTAAGCCAGCCTTGGACAAATAGTTTGCCAGACCCTATCTTGAAAAAAAAAATCACCCAAAAAAGGACTGGTTGAGTGGTTCACTGAATACCTGCCTAGCAAACATGAGGCCCTGAGCTCAAAACCCAGAGCCAAAAATAACAAACAACAACAACAAAAAAGACAGTGTTTCCAGCTGAGCACTGGGTGGCTCAGGACACCTCTAATCCTGGCTGTTTAGGAGGCTGAGATTGTGAGGATTGTCATTTGAGGCCAGCCCCCAGAAATAGTTTGCAAGATCCCATCTTCAAAATAACCAGAGCAGAATGGACTAAAGATATGGTTCAAATGATAGAGCACCAGCTTTGCAAGTATGAAGCCCTGAGTTCAAACTCCAGTCTCACCAAAAAAAAGAAGGGAAAAAAGACTTTCTAAATAATGTCACATTCTGATGTATTGAGAGTTAGAACTTTCAATATAATTATTTGAAGGAGACATGACTTGTCCATAACGGAGTAATTTAAACATCTCATGGATCAGATTGATTTGAACACAAATTGCTCTTGGTAATAAGCTTTTATCCCCTTATGCTGTAATCTGGATTCTTGGTCATGTTGATGCCAGGAAAACAGGTAATTAAAACATTCTCATATTTGGGACCTAATCTTTATAACACATTTTGTTTGTGTGGCTGTTTATTCAACATGAACTTCTCATTCTCACACATTTAAATAAATTAGAGTCCTACCTTTATTAGAATAGTCTTCTTAGGGTCTTGATAATTCACATATGCCATCTTCAACTCTCTGAAATTACTTAGGAAATTTACATAGATTTTAAAACTATTGTATTACTAGCCTATTTGCAGATCTTACATACTCTGTAAACATAATATATCTCTTTTCATACACATTGCCTTTGTACAAGCACCTGGCATACAGGCAAAGTGTGTAGAGATCCTGCTTTGCTAGTGTGTTTTATGTACATTTGCACGTAGACTTTCTTAGTTACAGGTACTAAATTATGGGAGTAAACATGACTACTCTACAGTGAACTGGGCTGGGGATATAGCTCATTGGTAAAGCACTTGCCTACCATGGGTAAGGTGCTAAGGTTCAGTGCCCAGCACTGCAAAAAAAAATTAAGATTGTTTTGAAAATCAGTGGTAAACATCCTTAGTAGTATTAGGCAATGTACTAAATGTGGTTTAGAAGAGAATTTACGGTGATAACAAGGTAATTTCTAAAGTGTATAATTTCTTTCATTAAGCACCCTTTTGGTAATAGTTGGAGAGGCAGAGTGGGCATGACTTCTGTTCCTGTATAATTTCCACCTTCTCTGTCCACTTATAAAAGCAAGCATTTCCAGCTATCTTTCTGAATCCAGGTTGCAAAATGTGGCCCTGCTGATCCAGTACTGCCTTCTTCCTCTGGGCCATCACTGCAGAACAGTTTAGGAGCTTAAGCAACTGGAAATTGTTGACCTAGGTTTTCCTGTTTGGTGGGGAAGAATCGGGCAAGGAAGGAAAAGAACAAACCAACCCCAAACACCATGTGCAGCACTGGAGCTGTGTCTGGATTCCAATGTCTTTTCAGTGCTCAGGGAGTCAATGGTGCCTTTATCTCCCTAAGTGGTCTAGGTCAGGACACTACCACAGAGAAAAACAGTTGCCTGAATCCCAGATTATTTAACAGTCAAAGGCTTTTTCATAAAAATAATTCCTCCAGGAAAGGGACATTTGTGTGACATCAAGCAACCCAAGTGTCTTCCTGCCAGGCCCTTTGCTCTGGGTGAACATGCTAGATCACAGAGGTCAGTGTCCCCCAGCCCCAGTGGAGGGGACCGTGATGGTATTTCTGAAAGAGAAAACTGAGCCCAGAACTAGCCTAGGGTAGAACTACTTGTTTCCTTTTACATCAGTTGCTTCCTTTTTCTCCTGCTTTATACAGCAAGAGGATTGTTTGGTTTCTGACAGATGTGTGTAACCAGCCCAAATATTGGCATGGTAACAACCAATGGATTGTCAGTATCCATTGCTGCTTTGTGGATGGTATAAATGGAGCCTGGCTTTGGAACAGGGGGCTGACTCTTGTCTCACTCAAACTGGTGCCCAGCCAGCATTGGTGGGGGCATATGTGCCACAGGGACCCCAAGGCAAAGTAGGAAGAGGATTTTAGGTTTGCATAGAAGCTAGAGGATGAAACAGACCGTTACAATGAACCCCCAGTACAACAACTAAAAAAAAACCAAATTGGAAAAAAAGAAATAAATCCTTACTCTTCTGATTCCTTATTAAATGTTCCAAGATTAGCACTGCTTTGACTTAGAGAATAATCCTCTCCTGCCTTCTTGTTTTTCCACAGGGGATGGCATGAATGCCTATGTAGCCTACAAAGTTACAACCCAGGTGAGTCCCGTGACTTTGCTGATGAGAGCCTTAAAACACTTAGCCACTCATACCAGGAGGGTCTCGTTCAGATTATTTCTGGGATTCTTTTAATTTCTTCCCATTTTTCTTCATGTTTACTCAAGTTAGAGTAAGCCTGCATCCCCTTCGTACTCTTATTCTGGGTACCATACTGAGCCTTTCCACTATTCTTCCAGAAAGCTAACACACTTCAGTGTGAAACCTGGCAAATTTTATTAAGACATACAGCATATCTGGTTAGCCCCATCTCTAAGGACGTATATTGCTTGGAGCTAGTTTGGTGGATTGCCTCTAGCCAAGAGGCATTATTAAAATTTTCCAGTTCCAGAGCTGGGTGTGGTGGTGCATATCTATAATCCCAGTACTCACAGAAATGGTAGCAAGTTGCAGTTGCAAGTTCCAGGTTATAGAAAGTGTTAAAAAGAGACCAAGTGTGGTGGCTCACACCTATGATCCCAGCTACTTGGGGAGAATTGCAGTTCAAGGCCAGTCTGGGCAAAAAAACGTAAGTACCTATCTGAAAAATAACTTGAGCAAAAAGGACTGGGAGAGTGGCCCAAGTGGTAGAGTGCCTGCCTAGCAAGTGTGAGGCCCTGAGTTCAAACACAGTACTGCCAGAAAAAAAAAAAGAAAGTGTTAAAAGAAACTCTGTTCTGGGTATGATGGGACACATCTATAATCTCATGCAAGACTGAGGTAGGAGGACTGAAAGTTCAAGACCATCCTGGGCTACATAGCAAGACCTGTCTTACACACACAAAAAAAAAAAACAATGAAAATCCTTAGTTCTTCTGACATTTAATATATACATAGCTTCCCAAGTGCTGGATTACAGGTCCTCACCACCATGCCCAACACAGAGTTTTTTTATCTCACACTTTTAAAAATTAGTATACGTTAATAGTATGAGGGGGTTTCATTGTAATAATTTCATAGGTGTGTACAGTGTACAACCCCTCTGCTATATTCCCTTACACAGCTTCTGTTAGTATTTTCCATAACCTTTTGCCCCTCAAGCCTGGTCTATTTTATTTTTTTAATAATGTATACAAAACTTACAAAAGTTAACATACAAGTTATGAAGTATTAATGAAGCCCTGAACCCATCCCAGTTTTAAGATAAGTACATTGACTGCTTTTTGTGTCTCCCTGTCATATACTCTGCTTCACACCTTAGTGGTGACACTCTCCTGAGTTACTTTACTTCCTTTATAAAATAAAAACCTTTACATATGAAGCTCTGAATAATACTGTTTTGCTTTGGTTTAGAATTTCTTAAAAATATACTGAAAATAGTGCTTTCCCAGACTCAACCTTGCTGGGCGCAACTGTAGCTAGTCCATTATGTGGATACACCATAGTATATTTACCATGTTCCTGTTGTGAAACATGGTTCTGTATGTGCAGCTCTTGCCTGTCTCTCATAACCTATGGAAGAGTTTCTCAAGAAAGAGTATGTAGTTCCCCTGGGTCATGGGCTAGGTACTGCAAACACTAAAACACAAGGGATGTAGACTATTTTTAAAGTCTTTGTACAAACTTATCCTCCATCAGCAGTGTATGATGGGATTGTGCGATTCATTTCCTTACCAACAATTGGTGAAACCAACCTCCTTAAATTTTGTCTATCTGGTGAGTATTAAATGAACTCTCACTCTGCGGTAGGCCTTGCCTTTTTACTAAAAGACTCCTTCATGTTTTTAATACTTGTTGGCCTACCTCGTGTGAGCTTTATAACAGTTTCTACAGCTTACACACTGCATGTGATTCCTCCCTTCCCTTCTTCCTTCCAAGCACTTTTAGTCTATCTTGATTTTAGTTTGTTTGTTTAATTCTATTAGCTAATAGCCTTAAATAAGTCAATAAAGATGGACTGGTTATAGGTGACTATGGAATTCCAGCTTTTCTTTTCTTTCTTTTTTTTTTTCTTTTAGCAGCACTGGAGTTTGAACTCAGGGCTCATGCTTGCTAATGCTTGCTAGGCAGGTGATCTATCTCTTCAACCAATCCACCAGCCCTTTTTTGTGATATTTTTTTTTCAAGATAGTCTGTCACAAACTAATTGCCAGGGGCTGGCTCAAACCAAGATTCTCCTTATCTCTGCTTCTTGAGTAGCTAAGATTACAGGCATGAGCCATTGGTGCCCAGCAGAATTCGAGCTGTAAAGTAGAATTCAACATTTGTTTGTTTAGAGCAAGTTTTTTTTTTTTGTAGCAAAAGTGATAGAATCAGAATATGCATTCAACAGACTGAAAACAGGTGGTTTCTAGAGTGAGAACGTGAATGACACAAGTGCTCTTAATATAAGAAAAAATTACATTTAAATTTAACTGGTTGCCTTTATAATCCTACATATTTGTTTATTTCTTGGTGGTACTGCACCTTCTCCTTGTTAGGCAGGCACTTCACCACTTGAGCCACACCCTAGTCCTTTTGGCTTTTTAGTTTATTTATTTTTTTTTTTTGGTAGGGTCTTGCTTTTGCTTGGGCCAGTCTTGGACTTTGATCCTTATACCTATGCTTCCCATGTAGCTGAAATTACAGACACAAACTGCTACACCTGACCTGTTTGTTGAGATGGAGTCTTGCTAGCTTTTGCCTGAGCTGGGCTCGAACCATGATCCTTCTTACCTTGACTGGCCTGAAACCATGATCCTCCTAATCTCTGCCTCCCAAGTAGCTGGGATTATAAATGTGAGCCACTGAGCCCAGTTGTATTTTATTTTAAGCATTTAAGATACTTATTCTTAGTAGGGCCTATTAGGCTACCAGACTGCCAAAGAGGACTATAGCTCAAAAAGTTCAAGAGTCTCTGTCTTGGAGAAAGTTATTTGCTAGGTGGCTGAAGGGCAGGGACCTGGGAAATGGGCCTTTGATGTAATCTGGATAGTTTTCAAGATGCTCTTTCATCTTGGCTTTGGAATGAAATCAGTCCTGTGTTTTTTCTGCCCCCAAGACTAGCTTACCAATGTTCAGAAGTAAACAGTTCGCAGTGAAAAGAAGATTTAGTGACTTTCTGGGTCTTTATGAGAAGCTTTCAGAGAAACATTCTCAGAATGGCTTTATTGTCCCTCCTCCACCTGAAAAGAGCCTAATAGGTAAGCCTGTGCTCTTTAATTCCACTTGAGTTGTTTTTCCTTTGCATTCATTCTATATAATATACTTACTGCTTAGTATATGAGACTACTTCTGTTAGTGCTGAATCTTGTGCTTAGAAAGGAGAAATTTCTGGTAGTTTTTTTAAAACTTGTAGTCTAAAGAAATAGCATATTTTGACTTGTTCTCTTTCCTTGGGTACTATAGGGAGCTCCAGCTTTAGCCTCCAGTTTTGTTACTGTTGGGTGTTATTATTCAGGAGTGTTTTTTTGTTGTTGTTTTTTCTTTTTGTATGGACAGGTTCTTACTATATATCTCGAGCTCACTGTAGTCCAGGTTGTCCTCGAACTTGTGATCCTCCTGCCTTGGCCTCCCTAATGCTGAGATTACAAGTTTGTAACACCATGCTTGGCAAAGAGAAATTGTCTTTTTTTGAGGGATGCTGGGAATTGAATACAAGGCCTCATATACATTAGACTGAGCTACATCTTCAGCCCCAAGAATCTTAAGTGATCACTGTTCCCTCCAGATTGAAATGTTTGGGGGTCTTGAAGAACCTTCCTGTTAGCACCAAGTGATTGTTAATCTATACTCAGAATCCCAGGCCCCTCCCTGTAGAAAATGCACAAATCCAAGAGTTTAGAACTTGTTTAAAAAAATGGCCTTCCAAACCGAATTCAGCAACACATCAAAAAGATTATTCACCACGACCAAGTAGGCTTCATCCCAGGGATGCAGGGGTGGTTCAACATACGAAAATCAATAAACGTAATAAACCACATTAACAGAAGCAAAGACAAAAACCACTTGATCATCTCAATTGATGCAGAAAAAGCCTTTGATAAGATCCAACATCATTTCATGATAAAAGCTCTAAGAAAACTAGGAATAGAAGGAAAATTCCTCAACATTATAAAAGCTATATATGACAAACCTACAGCCAGCATTAAACTTAACGGAGAAAAACTAAAACCATTCCCTCTAAACTCAGGAACCAGACAAGGATGCCCACTATCTCCACTCCTATTCACATAGTACTGGAATTCCTAGCCAGAGCAATTAGGCAAGAAGAAGGAATAAAAGAAATACAAATAGGTAAAGAAACTGTCAAAATATCCCTATTTGCAGATGACATGATCCTATACCTTAAAGACCCAAAAAACTCTACTCAGAAGCTTCTAGACACCATCAATAGCTATAGCAAGGTAGCAGGATATAAAATCAACATAGAAAAATCATTAGCATTTCTATACACTAACAATGAGCAAACGGAAAAAGAAGGTATGAAAACAATTCCATTTACAGTAGCCTCAAAAAAAATCAAATACCTAGGTGTAAACCTAACAAAAGATGTGAAAGACCTCTACAAGGAAAACTATACACTTCTGAAGAAAGAGATTGAGGAAGACTATAGAAAGTGGAGAGATCTCCCATGCTCATGGATTGGTAGAATCAACATAGTAAAAATGTCAATACTCCCAAAAGTAATCTACATGTTTAATGCAATTCCCATCAAAATTCCAATGACATTCATTAAAGAGATTGAAAAATCTACTGTTAAATTTATATGGAAACACAAGAGGCCACGAATAGCCAAGGCAATACTCAGTCAAAAGAACAATGATGGACGTATCACAATACCTGACTTCAAACTATATTACAAAGCAATAACAATAAAAACAGCATGGTACTGGCACAAAAACAGACATGAAGACCAGTGGAACAGAATAGAGGACCCAGATATGAAGCCACACAACTATAACCAACTTGTCTTTGACAAAGGAGCTAAAAATATACGATGGAGAAATAGCAGCCTCTTCAACAAAAACTGCTGGGAAAACTGGTTAGCAGTCTGCAAAAAACTGAAACTAGATCCATGTATATCACCCTATACCAAGATTAACTCAAAATGGATCAAGGATCTTAATATCAGACCCAAACTCTAAAGTTGATACAGGAAAGAGTAGGAAATACTCTGGAGTTAGTAGGTATAGGTAAGAACTTTCTCAATGAAACCCCAGCAGCACAGCAACTAAGAGATAGCATAGATAAATGGGACCTCATAAAACTAAAAAGCTTCTGTTCATCAAAAGAAATGGTCTCTAAACTGAAGAGAACACCCACAGAGTGGGAGAAAATATTTGCCACTATACATCAGACAAAGGACTGATAACCAGAATATACAGGGAACTTAAAAAACTAAATTCTCCCAAAACTAATGAACCAATAAAGAAATGGGCAAGTGAACTAAACAGAACTTTCTCAAAAGAAGAAATTCAAATGGCCAAAAACACATGAAAAAATGCTCACCATCTCTAGCAATAAAGGAAATGCAAATTAAAACCACTAAGATTCCACCTCACCCCTGTTAGAATAGCCATCATCAGCAACACCACCAACAACAGGTGTTGGCGAGGATGCGGGGAAAAAGGAACCCTCTTACACTGTTGGTGGGAATGTAACTAGTACAACCACTCTGGAAAAAAATTTGGAGGCTACTTAAAAAGCTAACATGATCTACCATTTGATCCAGCAATACCACTCTTGGGATATACCCAAAAGACTGTGACACAGGTTACTCCAGAGGCACCTGCACATCCATGTTTATTGCGGCACTATTCACAATAGCCAAGTTATGGAAACAGCCAAGATGCCCCACCACTGACGAATGGATTAAGAAAATGTGGTATCTATACACAATGGAATTTTATGCAGCCATGAAGAAGAACGAAATGTTATCATTCGCTGGTAAATGGATGGAATTGGAGAACATCATTCTGAGTGAGGTTAGCCTGGCCCAAAAGACCAAAAATCGTATGTTCTCCCTCATATGTGGACATTAGATCAAGGGCAAACACAACAAGGGATTGGACTTGAGCACATGATAAAAGCAAGAGCACACAAGGGAGGGGTGAGGATAGGTAAGACACCTAAAAAATTAGCTAGCATTTGTTGCCCTTAATGCAGAGAAACTAAAGCAGATACCTTAAATGCAACTGAGGCCAATAGGAAAAGGGGAGCAGGTACTAGAGAAAAGGTTAGATCAAAAAGAATTAACCTAGAAGGTAACACCCACGCACAGGAAATCAATGTGAGTCAATGCCCTGTATAGCTATCCTTATCTCAACCAGCAAAAACCCTTGTCCCTTCCTGTTATTGCTTATACTGTCTCTTCAACAAAATTAGAAATAAGGGCAAAATAGTTTCTGCTGGGTATTGAGGGGGTGAGGGGGACAGGGAGGGGGTGGAGTGGGTGGTAAGGGAGGGGGTGGGGGCAGGGGGGAGAAATGAACCAAGCCTTGTATGCACATATGAATAATAAAAGAAAAAAAAATGGCCTTCATGTAAGAAACCTTTTGTTCATGCCTGCTCATGACACAGGTGGCCTTTGGTTGTGTTTGGTAGTGCTATGCTTGTTGCCTTTCCTCCTGATGACTTTTTATGTAATACAGATCTGTTCTTTTCATGATTGCTGGTAATTACTTTTTAAAATTTTTTAATTAAGCATTAATAGTACAAGGGGGTTTCATTGTGATAATTTTGCTTCTTAAATTCCATCCTAGGAATGACAAAAGTAAAAGTTGGGAAGGAGGATTCTTCTTCTGCAGAATTTCTTGAAAAACGGAGGGCTGCTCTAGAAAGGTAGGTGCCTTACAACCATGTTCCTGAGTAACCTGAGATCAAGAAAGAAGCTAAAACTGAGATTTAATCATGTAATGTTCACTTAAGGTAATAGGGAGGAAAGTTGAGTGAATTAAAGAGTCACAGCTATGTGCTTTCTCTCGTTTTCCCCAATTCTCTTATCTTCCCACAGTAGTCATAGACCATCTTCTTTTCCTTCTCCATTGTGAGTGAGCAATCATATTTTCCTTCTCAGACAATCTGATATGAATGGGTCTGAGTTCTCTTTCCAACAATTATTTTACTGTCTTTTGGAAATGTAAAAAACATGAACTTGAATGTGCTTATAAGCATAGCCTTCCTTAAGTGCCTTATCTGAGAACATTTTAAGTAGTGAAAGATATGGTACCCCTACCAGCCCTGCACAACACTCAAAACCTTCTGAGCTCACATCAGCTAACTAGATGGTAACTCTTTACCATTTAGGTACCTCCAGAGGGTTGTGAATCATCCTACCATGTTACAGGACCCTGATGTCAGAGAGTTTTTGGAAAAAGAAGAGGTTGGTATCATATAAAACTGAATTTCATCATTTATAGACCCCTAGTGAGATTAAACTAGTTCATTCAACAAATATTTGAGCAGTTACCATACCTTGTATCAGACTATATCCTAGTTTTATGTGAGTCCCCAAGATTTTTCTGCCTATGGTCAGAAACAACTGACTGTATAATGGCAACCTTGTCTTGTCTTCCTGGATCAACACACTGTTTGGCAGTTTCTTAGAGTATCTTTTTATAGGTTACTTAAAAAGATACTTACAGTATCTCTTTATAGGTTACTTAAAAAGATAAAAAATGGAATGCATATTTTGTGCCAGGAACTGAGGGGCATCGAGTAAAAACCAGACCCCAGAACTGCCATGTAGCAAAAGTGTTGATTCAAGTGGACAGTCTTTTTTTAGTCTATGCATGCAGGCTATTCATGACTCTAAAAAATTGGAGACAGCCAAATTGCTAGTAATTAAAGAGTTAAATAAGATATATCTATACAATAAATATTTTATTCTCATCATAAACAAAAATTATACAGAAATACTAGTATATGGGAATATACTAGAAGTTACGAAAAGTGAAGCATGAAACAGCATGTATATATAGCTATAGAAAAACATAAGTCATTAGAATCAAAACAAATGCTAGAGTAAAACAATGTTTTATCTCATAAAACTAGAAGGAAGTAAGTCACAGGATAAGACAATCATTTTTTATTTTGAAATTTTTCTCTATTTTGCATGTTATTCTAATGGTGCTAAATACAAAAACCAAATCATCTCCAGATGTTGCCAGTGTCCCCATAGGACAATATAATCCCAACTTAAGAACTACTACTGTAAATTCCTGAGTGCTAAGCTCTTAATTTTTAGCACAGTTTACCATGTAAAAGTACCTTCATTCTGAATAAAGAATGCTCTTGTCCTTGGACATTTGCTCACTGAGGGTAATTTGAATTGAGTCCTAGCACAACTCCAGACTCTGTATACGTTCTCAAGACTTAAGTCCAATTTGTGCAGCGTATGCTAATCCAAAGGAACTTTTGACCTCTAACAAAAGTATGCTTGCTATTGAAGCAATTCATGCCTGGGTAAGCAGATGATCTCAGTGTGAGGTCACTTGGTCACATAACACTCCTAGTCTATTTTCTTTCTATTATATCAAAAGCTGAAAACCTTACTGATTCTTTTTAGCATAGTTCCTTGATTTTTCTTTCTTCATGAATCAGTTTTAGATTAATGTAAATGCCTTAGAATACCACATTCTACAGTTCAAATAATTTTTTTGGTAAATTCTGGGCATGCCATCTGATAGATACTAATTCTTCTGAACCAAAAATAGGGGCAACAGATAACTTGCCATCCCCACCTTCTTGGTCTTGTAGCTGCCACGTGCTGTGGGTACCCAGACACTAAGTGGTGCTGGTCTTCTTAAGATGTTCAACAAAGCTACAGATGCTGTCAGCAAAATGACCATCAAGATGAATGAATCAGACATTGTAAGTAGGCCTGTGCCTCTTCTGTCCTTCTCCTTCTCGGGCTTATGGGTCAGAAGCCCTAGAAGTTACGAAATTTCTGAGATTAGAGACTTTTTTCAATTAATAAAAAAAAAAATCAGTCCTTTTTTTTCTTTTAATGTTCTAAGAAAAGACTTCTGTCTGTACCTATTCAAGTAACCACTGTTGTTGAAGCTGTGGGCTTTGTGTTTCAGTGGTTTGAGGAGAAGCTCCAGGAGGTAGAGTGTGAGGAGCAGCGCTTACGGAAACTGCATGCTGTGGTAGAAACTCTAGTCAACCATAGGAAAGGTAACCACCTCTGAGAGAAATTAATTGTCTTCAGTGAGCTGAAGACGGGAGGGCATATTGGTCCCAACCCTCAGCCAAATAATTTAACGTTCTCAGCCCACCTGGTCCTTGATGTTCTGATCAAAAAGATACACACTGTCTTCCAGCATAAAACAAGACTCAGCTCTTGTAGGCTTTGGACATCTACCTGGGAGGGGTGTGGGGAACCTATGCTAGATAAATATTGACCTGGGATAGGGACTTTTGTTGATAAGATTTGAATTGGTGGCTTGCACCCAAAATAATGACATACAGGCTTTAGCTACACAGTCATACCAGCAGTGAGTAAATGCAGGGAAATCATCTATGTTTCCTAACCCTTCTTTACCTTTCTTTGGTGATATTTACTTAAGAGCTAGTGAAATTTTCCAAGTTTGAATACTTTTCTTTCTCTACATTAAACATACTGGTAATTAGAAATTTAAAAAATCATTAGCATGAGCCCCTTATAAGTGTTGGCAAACTATGACCTGTCCCTGGGCCTTTATTTTTTAATCTATTTTGTAGTACTCAGGGATTGAACTCAGGACCTTATGCCTAGGTACAGGTTTCTTAAAACTCAGATTTTTAAATTTTTAAAGGTAGAAGTGGAAGAAAAAAGAATATGCAGCAGAGACAATGTGTAGCCTGCAAAGCCTAAACATTTTCCGATCTGACCCTTTATTGAAAAGGTTTTCCCTGCTCTAGAACATGCAAAAGTATGCAGTATATCTCTCTTGCTCACACGCAGGCTATGGTAAATGAGCTTAAAAATAAAAATTAATATCATTCATTTGGCCTGATTAACTGGCCCTTGGCTCTCAAGGAATATTGGCGCTACTTCCTTAAGGTAGGTCTGATCTAGTGAAACCCCTCAGGCTTTCAGCTCTGAGAAGTCCTGACATTTCTGATTGGAGACTTTTTTTCAATTAAGAACAAAAAAATCAGAGCTGGTGGGTGGAGTGGCTTAAGTGTTAGAGTGCCTGCCTAGCAAGCATGAGGCCCTGAGTTCAAACCCCAGTGTGTGTGGGGAGGGAAATCAGTCTCTTTAAAAACAATTAAAAAGTAGTCCCTCTGTGTTCTGCTCCTATAGTCAAGTCAGGCCACTTGCCCTTCACTCTCTGAATATGTATCGTAGGTGATTCAGTCACAGAGCCCTCAGTTGTCAGATATGCAGGGAACTGCGTTGTTAAGACATGCCATGCAAGACCAACTGACTTGTCCCTTTTCCTTGTGAGATCAGAGAGGCCTCTGCTGTCTTTTCCTTGTTCCAGAGCTAGCAGTGAACACAGCCCAGTTTGCAAAGAGTCTAGCCATGCTTGGGAGCTCTGAGGACAACACAGCATTGTCACGTGCACTCTCCCAGCTGGCCGAGGTGGAAGAAAAGATTGAGCAGCTCCACCAGGAACAGGCCAACAGTGACTTCTTCCTTCTTGCTGAGCTCCTGAATGACTACATTCGCCTCTTGGCCATAGTCCGAGTAAGCTTCTGTTTCCTTTCCTCCTCCCTTTTAGTGAATTTGTCTTTCCTTTGCTCTTCCCTGTCCCAAGAAAGTTTCATCTTATTTTGCTTATAAATGGTTGTAACTTTTTCTACTCTTAAGGTAGCGTATAAATAAAATATTTTGACTGTTAGCTAGTTATCACTGAGTCATTTTGAGGCCCACAGCCAGGTTCCTCAATGCATTTGGAGAAAAGATCACTCTTGAATTTATAAGTAGGCTCTTGTTTATTGTTGAAACTGGACAATGTCCTCTGTGCTCCTTTCTTCAAGAAAGGTTTATTACAGACCTGCTGTCTTGGCTCCCCGAAGCCATGACTTTCTCAGTCCTCTGGTCTTTGCCTCCTTAACAGTAAGCAGTGGCTTTGCTCTGATAAGAGCTCTTGATGGCTTCCGCTTATGCCTCCAGTGTGGGCAGTAAGGTAACTACACAGAACTGCTTGGCGTTGCATGGAGGAGTATGGCCAGGGGTCTGAGAGAGCTTATCACCAGAGCCCTCCCTGTGCTGTGCTGACCATACTGGTAGCAACACTGCAGCCTGCCCCTCAAGTCAAACACCTTTTTTTTTTCCTGGTTACCAAGGCATTCTGGTTTTCCTAGCTCTCAGAGCAGTTAAGGAAGCTTGATTGGGTGGTGGTATTAGCTCTCACATGGCCCCCTGAGACAGGAAAGAACCAAGAAGGAGCCTGGTATTACACTATAAGGGCCTATATCTGCACCTGATTCAACTTGGAATCAGGATATGTGATGCTGTAAGTTGGAACAGTGCCATCCCCAGTCCCCATCCCCAACATATTTCCCACCAGGGAGCTTCTGTGTTGTGTAAAGAACTGAGCTGCTCTCAGGGTCTCACTTCCTCCACAGTAGAGCCGCTTAATATAGACTGTGAGATTGCTCACTGTACTTTGCTTTTTGGTTTGCTAACTCCAGAGTGATAAGAAGCTTGAAAACTAACCTGCTGTGGAATTCTTAGAACTGGTCAGACTACTTAGACTGGAGAGCCTTTCCAGGGAAGGGCTCTGTCTGAGGGGAATTTTCTATGAAGAGCATTGTTGAGGATGGAGGTGGGGGGAGAACACAGGTTTTAGATATGACCTCATCCAAGCCTGGAGCTCCCTGGGCTGGAGTTGGGGCTGGGCCAGCATGCCTTAGAGCACAAAACTGCAAGCTGGTCATCTCTCAGACCCTCCACCTGTCTACCTCACATCATGAGCTGCTGGCTGGCAATAGGATTAGAGATGAATAGAGGTTTCTTTTCTACCTTTCCTTGAACCTGACCACTGTTAGCCCAGTGGCATAGGTTTGAGTCCTATTATGGATATAAAGTCACCTTTACCTAATCCTTTGACATTGAGGTGTTAAGAAATTGCAAGGGAACAGTAATGACAGTACTGGGGAAGGTGAATTTGATGGTACTGCACTCCCTATTGTTTAAGTTTTGGCCAAGGTCCATGCTAAGGAAGCCTAGAAAACACAGGGAAGGGGAACCAATGGAACAGGACTGGGAGGTCAGCCCCAGGCACAGATCTTTGATCTGGGCTGCCTCTTAAGGCCCAGGGTGTGAGTGTGGGAGTGGTATGGTTTAGTTAGACCAACAATCACCTTCCTCTGGAAATGCTGATTGAATACAAAGGACTGGAAATAAAAACCAGCAAACAGGTTTTGGGGTGATTTCTTGAAGGTGAGTGTGTGGTCAAGATGAAAGCAATATGTCCTGTAGTAGTTTTATATAAAGACTAACCCTGTATGCCATTTGTGGGTCAGTTGAAAGATCGCCTCCTTGCATTAGATTTCCCTGACATGTCTCCTGGGCTAAGGTCCCTACCCTAGCTTTATGTTATAGTACCATGCATGTTTTCCTAGTAATCTGCAAACTTACATCTACTGTAATTATTAATATAATGATGGCCTTTTCCATCAGATGGTAAGTTCATGAAAGCAGGACCATGTGTTTCATTACTGGCACATGGTATGCACTCAGGGAAAGTACTCATGAACTGACTTTTCTAAAGGAGGGAATTTGGAAGCCACAGTATTGGGTACTGGCCTCAGGCCACCTACAGTGCTCCCAGCCATTTTGCCCTGAGAGTAGCATGAAGTAGCATGGCACTGACCCACTGGGAGCTTGGGTCAAACTTGGGCTTACTCAAGCTTTTGCTTCTAGACATTAAACTTTCCAGTTGGGCATTAACACGTGGCTGCAGAACATGTCCTTGCTTGGTCCTTCCCTGGCCTTCCCTGGCACAGCTGCTGGGAGACCCACCCCCCTGCCCCCCAGGCAGAGGCAGCCAAGCTGCTGAAGAACTGGTTGTGCTCGTCCCAACCCCTACCCCACAGGCTGCCTTTGACCAACGCATGAAGACATGGCAGCGTTGGCAGGATGCTCAAGCCACATTGCAGAAGAAGCGGGAAGCCGAAGCTCGGCTGCTGTGGGCCAACAAGCCTGACAAGCTGCAGCAGGCCAAGGATGAGATTACAGAGGTGAGTCCCCGAGGCAGCCCAGCCAGGGCTATTTGGCTGGCTCCTGAATAAGCCCTGCTCTCATCTGGCCCAGATGCTTGGAGCTGATTGTGTTTAAAGAGCATGTCTGCTAGGCAAGCCTGAGAGTGATTGTAGGACTGCCTTGAGGCCTGGACCTCTTCCTGTCTTTCTGCTCCACCCAGACTTACCAAATCCAACTCTTGACAGCAGGGATCCTGACATGAGTCTTTGAAAAAGCTACCTAGGTGCGGAGAACTAAATTTAGTTTTCTGGCTCTAATTAAGTTTCTAGGTCTGCTGGGGAGGAAGGACCTAAATTGGAGGCCACTCCAGTAACAGAGCTTTCTCAAAAATCAGGCTTGGCCTAGGGCATATATGGCCTGCTGGACTATGATTTACATGCTTAATCCCTTATGTATCTAATTCTGGGAGATAGACAGGCATAATGATCAGTTGGAAGTCTCATGTAGAATTTTTATCCACATGCAAAGGCTTATCAGCAGTACCATGTACTAAGTGATTCTTCCTTTCCTCTTTCTTTCCAGTGGGAGTCTCGAGTAACCCAGTATGAAAGGGACTTTGAAAGGATTTCAACAGTAGTCCGAAAAGAAGTGATACGGTTTGAGGTGAGATAGAAAATCCTAGCTTCTCACTGTTGTGAACAGGTGTGACCTATGTGTATACACATGAACGTGCATACTTTGTGTGCTAGTTCCTGAGGCATGGTGGCTGTCTTACACTTGCTGCTGGACCAGAACAATTAGACATAAAACAAATCTTGTAGCTGCTGTGTACCATTTTGGCACCTCTCTTCCCCTCTCCACCATCCTCCAAGAAAGCTTTGCAGAGCTTTGGCAGAGGCTATTTGGCTTGAAATTTCTGCTGGCTCTACTTTTGGAGGCTATGTTTAGCCTTGGTCAGCAATAAACACCACCATTCCATCAAAAGGGAAAGAAACAACTCTTTAGATGGTTAGTGTAGAATCCTGTCTCCTACAGAAAGAGAAATCCAAGGACTTCAAAAACCACGTGATCAAGTACCTTGAAACACTCCTGTGTTCACAGCAGCAGGTATGTAAGTTATGTGTGACCTTTGTTCTCTGCTGTCTGCTCCAAAGGACAGCTGTCTACTTAGGGTTCTGGTGACAAGATGATCAGGCCTTGCTTCTGAAGGAGGGGCCCTGCTTTAGTCAATAATTGAAAATAGGCCTTGCCAGCTGGATGCCAGTGGCTCACCCCTATAATCCTAGCTATTTGGGAGGCTGAGATTGGAAGGATCTTGGTTCAAGGCCAGCCTGGGCAAATAGTTTGAGACCTCATCTCCAAAGTAACCAGAGCAAAATGGACTGAAGGTGTGACTCAAACAGTAAAGCTCCTACTTTGCAAGTGCAAAAGCCCTGAGCTCAAACCTCAGTCCCACCAAAAAACAAAAAGAAAATAGGCCTTTCTGCTGTAGCATGAAGCATCCAACAGGGACTTTTGCTAAACAGGAAGATCCATCTCTGCTGCCCTAATTCAGTGGTGACTTAATTTTTTAAGACAAACCCCATCTCTTTTTCTGCCTATAAATGAACCTTCTTATCCTTTGAGTGACCACCCTCTGGTACCACCTAGCCTTCTTGAGGCTGAGATCCCAATCAGTATGTGGAACAATTGTCCCATTATGGGGAACTAGCTGAGCTAGACAAAGCTGTGGCCTCCACAGGAGTACGCTCTTCAGGCAGAACTGAGGTGATTTTCCAAGACTGCCCTTGAACTTGGAACTCACAAACTGATGGTTTCCCTATGTTTAGAGGGAGGTGAGGCAGTATGGCTTCCACATCTGCTCAGTATACCTTTGGGTGAGTTTGGTGCTTGGGGAGTGGCATGTCATTGTGCTTGCTCCCTTCCAGGCTAGCTCATTAGATGGGGGCACTTGCTTACTGTCCACTACGTCTTTGCAGCTGGCGAAGTACTGGGAAGCCTTCCTTCCTGAGGCAAAAGCCATCTCCTAATGGACCAAGGATACAGGAGCCTACCTGTGTGACGCTGCCTTTTTTTACACTGTCCTTCTTCCCCTCGATGGACCCCAGTGATGTATCCTGCCTAGACTGGACAGCCCCTTCCTCCTTGCCCCCATGACCAAGCTGTTCCCAGTTGCTCTAACCAGTATTTCATTTAGCTTCCACATATATTTTCTTACCTAAGAGAATAGTTTCCTGCTTTAAGCAATGACCTACAATAGGTGGTGGAATTATGGGATGGGGTGGAGAATTGATATAAATATATAAATACAAATGTATATTTTTCAGGATGTGGTTTAGGAACTGGGAATAACGTTTTCTGTTACTCCTGATGGTGCCATGAAAAGATTATATAATAAAATATTTTAAAATCAGGTCACATGACTCAGAATGGTGGTACTTTTTGCTTTAGACTGAGGAAGAGTTGCGAAGCAAGTCTGGAACACTCCTAACCGGGAGGTTGCCCAGGTGTAGTAAGTTTCGCTTTACACTATCTCACAAATTTTCGGTCTGCTTTCCTATGGAATTAGGGTTTCTTTTTTCTACCTACCTCAGCTACATGCTCAGAGTTTAATCAGCTTAATTATTATTCCTACTTCTTCAGGAAAGAAGTTTTAAAGACCTCTCTTATACTAAGGCAAACCTATTCTGTAAAGGAGACAGACTTTCTCTTATTCCTACCTCTTTTCCCTAAGCTCCAAGGCTCTCTGAATCTTGCTTTGTGATGGCCAATCTTATGTTCTAACCCTCCTTTTGTCATGCATCAAATCATATCCTCGAGAATCTTGAGGGGGTATTTCATTAGTAGCTTACCTGGTTAGTATGTGCAAGGTTCTGGGTTCAATTCCCAGCACCAAAACTAAAGCAAAACAAACACTACATCGTTGGGGTTTTTTTTATTTGTTTGGTTGGTTGGTTTTTTTATTTTTGTTTTTTTTTTCTTTGGCGGCACTGGGGTTTGAACTCATGGCCTTAATCTTTGCTAGGTAGGTGCCTTTACCACTTGAGCCACTCCCACCAGCCCCCCCCCACCTTGTTTTTATGATGGCTTTTTTCGGGATAGGGTCTCACAAACTTTTTGCCAGGGGCTGACTTGGAACTGTATTCCTCCTGATCTCTTCCTGTAAGATTACAGGCATGAACCATCTGCACCCGCTGCTTCTTAAGATGTAAAGGAGTGGTAAGAACTTGCTAATTTATCCCTACAGATACAGAACCAACCTCTCTGCCTCTAGATAAGGGCAATTCCAGGGCCTTTTGAAGCTCAAAGAAGCTTTACTGTTGTGCCTGGGAGATAGCAACAATAGCCCCAAGTTGTAGTAAGCACAAGTGAATTTCTGCCAGTATTGCCAAGATAGACCAGAGTCTCAGATCAGTTGTTGTCAGGCGGCTTCTCAGCTGTGTCCATAGCTGCCTAAGCTACACTGGCCAGAGTGGACTTTGAACTCTTTTGAATCAGAGTTGGACAACTGCTGGCATGGGAATCTTGCCACCCAGCCTCACCACCTGCAAAAGATGCCCCTGTGCAGGGGCTCTAGGATCTGTTCTCAATTCTTTTTGGTGGATGGCTAAGGTTTAGGGAGGAACAGCCAGAGGCAGGAGAATGCACTAAACAGTGCTGATTCTGGTACTCAGACTAGCACCAGAAGTATAGTGCTGCAAGTATTTTTGTCAACAGGTATTTTTTGGGAAAAGTTAATGTCTTCCCATCCCTAATATCCTTATCACCTTTGATTTTATCTTTACAGTTTTATTATTATTTATTTATTTATTTACTGTAGTACTGGGGCTTGAACTCAGGGCCTTCACATTGAGCCACTCCACCCCCTTTTTTTTCATGATGGATTTTTTTCAAGATAGGGTCTTGTGAACTATTTGCCTGGGCTGGCCTCAAACCAGGATCCTCCTGATCTCTGCCTCCTGAATAGCTAGAGTTACAGGCATGAGCACTGGCACACAGCCTGCCAATCTTTTTTATATTCTTACCTTTGCAAAGTTATAATATACACAAAATATTTTCTATCCTGCTTTTATCATTCAGTATACATGTATATGTTACAAACATTTTTTTCTCTATCTTTACAAACTTCATTTATAAGGCTATATAATCTTCAGGCTTCCACAGAGTGACTACCATAATTTTGATTCATCCCTTGTTATTGGAGTCTTGGTTTGGGAGGTTTATGTTTTTGGTAACTTTTAAATTTTTAATATAATTTCAAACTTACAGGAAAGTTGCAGGAATAGCACAAAGAACTTGTATATATCCTTTACCCAAATTTGCCAGGTGTTTACATTTATCCTATTTGCTTCATGATTTGCTAATCATAGTATCATAGTCTTTATAATATTTACATGCTATATTTTGTGAATCATTTGAAAATAAGTTGCAAAGTATATCCCATTACCCCAGAAACTTCAGTATGCAGTTCCTTAAGAATTTAATTGGTATTGAAAAATGTCAATTAAAGACATTCTCAAAACCATGAAATTTAACACTGATTTAATCCTGTCATCCAAACTGTGGTTCATATTTAAATTTGTCAGTTGTCCCCATAATGTCCTTTGTACGGACTCTTTTTCCTTGTACAAATCATGAGTTAAATTTATTTGTCACACATCATCACATGTCTAGTTTTTTTTTTGTTTTTTTTGAGACATAGTTTCACTATGGAGCCCAGGTTAGACTTGAACTGCCTCCACATCTCTAGAGCTAGGATTAGAGACATGCTCTACCATGCCTGGTTTACATGTGTTTTAATGCAGAAGAGTTCCTTGGCCTTTCTTTGTCTTTTATTACTGTGACATTATTTTTTAATACAGGACAGTTATTTTGTAGAATAGTCCTTAGTTTGGATTTGTTCAATGGCTCCACATTACCGAGTTGGGGTGTTTTGCATTCTGGGTAAGAACTTGCAGCAGTGATGCATCCTCAGTGCATCTGAAGTTGACTTATGACACTGGTTGGTCCTATGAATGTTGAGTTTAACTCTGATCACATGGTTTAATTTATGTCTTTCAGGTTTTTCATTTAAGTGTACTATTTTCCTCTTTGTAATTAACATGTAATTTGTGGGAAATTTTTGGGAATCATGTAAATATTTTGTTCCTCCACTGTCACAGCATCACTTGATGATTAGTCTTGCCTCAATCAATTATTACAGTGATTGAGCACTGTGATTTTCTAACTCCATCATGTCTTTTACATTGATTGGTTGACATTCTACTTCTCAAGAATATCCTTCTCTCCATTTTTTTTTTACTCACATATCTATTAATGTTGATGAATGGATTCCTGTTTTACTTAGTTGCAAGCCATTGGTTTGATGTTTTGATTCTTAAATTGTCCCACATTTAATTATTTTCTAGCATGACAAGATGTTTCAGGCTCATCTTGTATCTTCCTTATTCCAGCCCTAAAATAAGCCCATTTCTCCAGGGAATCTTGATTCCTTTTAATGGAGAACAGAATTAGAAACCAAGATTTGGGTGCTGAGTATGCCCACTGCAACTGGGGTGTCATTGCTGCTAGCTTGCCACAAACAGCAAGAAAAAAGAGAGATACAGAAGTACCAAGAGAGACAGAGGTAGAGATATATGGCCTAAGCAGATATTAGAAATCATGGGACAGCCAGGTGCCGGTGGCTCATGCCTGTAATCTTAGTAACTCAGGAGGCAGAGATCAGAAAGATCGTGGTTCAAAGCCAATCCAGAGAAATAGTTCGAAAGACCCTATCTGGAAAAAAATCCAAAAAAAAAAGCTAGTGGAGTTGCTCAAGGTGTAGGCCCTGAGTTCAAGCTCCAGCACTGCAAAAAAAAAAAAATCATGGGACAGTGATAGAGTGTTTATCTACTTCGTGTGAGGCCCTGGACTCAATCCTCAGTAACGAAAAAAATCCACATTGATACATCAAGTCTAACCCTACAGGCTAGACTCTAGTCTGCCCCCTCTTTTCCGTGTTTGTAACACTCTTCTCCAAAGAGACTTGCTTTTTAAAACTTCTTCATGAATAATTCAGTGATCATCTTGATGTAAGTCTCATAATTTCTTTAGATGGATGCTCTTCTGGCTTCAGAATTCTTCCTTAGCCTCTTATATCCCAAGGCTGACAGGGCCAGTTGTCTTTCAGGGTTTGTGCATTTTCACACAGAATTTGCAGACACAGAAATCAAAAAGGCCATCAGCAAGCGAGGGGCTCTGAGCCAGAAGCCTCTGTGGTAACTAACAGGCATAAAGGAAGGAGGTGTTTTTCCCCTTGGCAACTGTGGAGAAAATAAAATGTGATGCTGAAGCAAAAGGCGAAAAGTTTCTACCAGCACCATTTCGCCTTCCTTATATGTCTAGCAGTGAGATGGTTAGCTGCTAATGAAAAGAAATACCATAGTCACTTTGTGATTTAGATATACTGGAAGGTGTGAGACGAGGTTCTTCACAACTGTCCAGAGGGCCGAAGAAGGCAGCACTAAAGGAGAGGTTCTGGAGGTGGACGTAGAACCACTGGGATCTGGCCACTGACTTGAGAGGAAGTAGCTAGTGGGGCCCTGAGTTTTGTCTTGGAGTTGGGGTGGGTGGCGAGTAGCACTGGTTACACAGGAGGCAAGTAGGTTTAGAGCAGATGGGAAGGGAGGAGTGGGACAGTAAGGCACCTCCAGATGAGAAGGGAGGCCCGTGGTAAGAGGCAGGAAGATGCAGAGCAAACAGAGGCTTTGTTTAAGGTGGAGCAGAAGCTGGGTGTGGTGGTGCATGCTTGTCCCAACACGCAGGAGGAAGGGCAGGAGAATCATGAGTTCAAAGCCAGCCTAGGCTATATAGCAAGACCCTGTCTCAAAAAAAAAATTTTTTTTTTGGAGAAGGTAAAGCAGACTTAAGCATGTTAGGGAAATTCAGAGGAGGGAAAAAGAAGTAGCTATCAGAGCCACTCCCTTTTGTGTGCATTGTCTGGGAGAAAATGCAGCCCAAAGTACAATAAGGGGCACTCACTTCCTGTTCTCAGAGGGAGCTTCACTGCTGAGGCTTTCGGAAAGAAATGGATGGAAGAAGGGAAGGCTTCATGCCTCCTTCAGGTAGGGATGCCCTATTTACCTATTTCAGTTAAGGGATTTAGATAAAAGGTATGAAGAGATAAGTTTACACTTGTCCTCTGGGCCCCCTGGGTTACTTTTCCAAGCATCTCTGAATGTCATCTGAAGATGAGAACTCAGAGCTGGCAGGATCAAGTATTCAGTGACAGAGCAAGAGAGAGAGAGAGAGAAGATAGATTCCAAGTGTCATACATAAATACTAGTAACTTTGAACTCTTCCCAGAAGACTTTTCATTCTGAATACACCTGCAGCTGAGAACCCTAAAGAAAATAAAGAATGCCTTTGCAAAGACTCACATTTTTAAATGTGAGGGAAAACTGATGGAAATCTGCTCAGGACAGGGCCAAGATCTGGTAGAGCAGAGTATGGTGATGGAACCAGTGTTCTTTGCTGAGCAAGGGAAGGAAGAAGATAATGGTGATCCCAGCCTGTAGCAGAGAAAGACACATCTTTGC